ATGTATGTATGTATGTATGCGTGTATCGTATCTATCGTATGTTTCTAACTATGTACGTGCTGTACGGTTGCATGCGTGCATGTACATGTATGTACATATGCATGGATGCACATGTTCGTATGTACACACACACATATCATATATATATATATATACACACATGATATTATATAAGGCGTATATATATATATATAATATATATATATATATAAGTATGTATATATATATATATATGTGTGTGTGTGTGTGTGTTTGTACTTTGCATTCACATACATAGGCATACCCTAGCTGGCGCATAATTTCGGCACTCAATCAATTGTACGTGGCCCGTGGGGCAGATTTCGAATCCGGAGCCTTGGAAACACATTTCGCTGGGAGACCAAACAACTCGAAGTTATCGATGTGCCCATTGGAATCTGAACGGAAGCAAACATGCGTGGGCCAGATGCTTGCACATGCTTGAAGCTGGGCACGCCGAAAACTAAACGGAGCCAGATAGCATCATTTCACAGATAACAACGCCGATAGCTCGTCAGTCGATTTTTTGGCCGGCCAGAGTGGAAAAAGACAGGGGTTGTTTTCTCGTGTTGCGGTCCTTCAGTAGAGGGCTTCAGACTTTGTACCCGGTTTTGGTCCCCGTGCGGGGATGCCCCGCCCCAACTCCGCTGTTTCAGATCAGAGAGTGTCTTGATAACGCGATTTACAAGAGTCCTGTTGAACCTCGAGCCGTTTTGCGCTCATCAGCTCCCTGCACTTGCTGTCAGTTGTATCATCAGTTTCCGAGGAGGAGAACTCGCAGCGTCAGAGCATGTCATTCTCAAGTAGTGTGCAAAGCTTGTCATTGCTGCTTGTAGCAGAATAAGATGGAAGGCACGGAGGAAGCACGAGGGCCTTGTGGTTGCAAGTCATTGTTGTTGAGCAGCCGTGATTCCTGCAGTGATCTAACCATTATTGGTTGACCGTACAGCCATGCACACAAAATCACTCGGCTGAAATCGGCTGAATGCTCTGAGACAGATTGTAAGGCCAAGCATGAACGCATCATGAACAGCGGCAACGTAGACTGAACTCAATTCCAGACCCAAATGCCCAAATAGCAGCACACAACATTGCAATTTTTACGTTGCCTGTTGGAAAGTCAATACATAGTTCTTGCGTCATCCCCCATGCATGACATGGTCTTGTAGCCCGCTGAAATATCAAACCGTGCATTCCTTGATTCGCTCTCAACTGCAAAGCCAAAATTTCGAATGTCCTTCGTCGCCAACGACGACGCTGATGGCTGCGACATGTTTGGAGCTCAATGGGCGGTGTAGAGTAGCACATGTATGAGCGAAGGGACATTGCAGTGCAGAGAGCTTTGGGTGCCGCAGCAGCGGGGCTCAAGCTCTCGAGCGTTTTTGACAGGCTGCCTCGTTCGCAATGGCGGCTTGCAGTGCTCTTGAGCTATCGGCTGCGCTGGAGGCTCTTCAGTGGATGGAAGAGCCCGTGCCTTTGGGCACGGACATCTTTGACGACGGCTTCGAGTGGATCTGACGCATTCTGCTTGAAGCCTGGATCGAGGCCAAATCCACTGACCGCGAGAAGGTGGCCCCTCTGCTTGATCTTCTGACGAGTCTTAAATATAAATCCAAGGAGCCCATTCAGACTGCAGTTCCCCAGGGCGGCTTCACTTCGATGCGGCATTGCTCGGAGGAGAAAACTCAACATGTCAGGGTCCTTCAGGACAGAGCCTTGTGGCTGTGGGCTTTGGTGCCCCGTTGGGGCGCCGCACAGATGAGTGTGCGGTTTTTGCTCAGTTTGGTGGACGTGCTCATGCAGGCCCCCGTGCTGTTAGGGCAGTTGCGCGTCTTTAATGAGAGGCTTCAGCAGCCCATTGAGCAAAGCGTGATCCGAAATTAGTTTTGGGCTCAATGGCCGCAGAGCTGTGGGAGGCCCTTAGGTCCAGGGGCATCACGCCGAACGCCCCGACTTTTGTTCAATGTCGAGTGCTCTCGGTGCAGGAGGTGCCTCTGAGGTCGGACGTTTTGATCGGGGCAGGAGTGCCTTCTTGGGTCGTAGAGCTGGCCACTAGGGGGGTGGCGCCTGTCGCAACCGGAAGCCGAACGTCGTCGTCCCGACTTCCCCAAGGAGCCGGTTCTGCAGAAGGCTAGCATGCAGTTGGCTTTGGAAGCGGCCAGGCCGGAGAACCTGGTTAGGACGCTGGCAGCTTTGGATCAGGACATCCTTGCGTCGACTACCATGTCGACCAATACCGCGACTGTATGAGGCCATTTGTCGCATAGCCGAGGTGGAGGCTTGGCCGGTGTCAAGGCGGTCCGCTAGGATTTTCGCGGCATGTCTCAAACAGGGTCATTACAAGAGCGTCAAGGTCTACTTCAGCGCCATCTTCGGCCATCAGCTCCGAGTCATGGGGAACACTGTGTCTGCGGATCTTCAACGTTGCGTTGCAGATGCCACTAGGTCGGCTTTGAGAGGAGCTGGACCGTCCAAGCTGAAGGACCACTTCCACGTGCCGGTCCTCAAGTTTTGCTGCCAACGGCTGGTGCTGAGGAGTTCTCGCCTGACCGCCCGGCTCACATGGCGGATGTCGTGCTGATTTGCTGTTGGTGGATGTTCAGGGAGATTGAGTCTTCCGGAGTACAAGTTTGCCACGTTTCCATGAATGAAGGAGCCCTGGCGATCATGTTGCCGGTGCAGAAGACGGACACGAGGGGCATGCTTTGTTGTCGCACATTGAAGTGCGCATGCCGGGTTTCGAAGCAGGCTTTGTGCCCTTACCGTGCCATGAAACGGCATTTGCAGAGATTGGCAGCACGTGGCCACGATGCAGTGGCTTCCAGGGCCCCTCTCTTTCCAGACACAGAGGGGGGTGTCCTTTCGAAGGACCGCTTCGTTAAGTGCGTGCGCCAGGTTCTGCAGGCTTGTGATGTTGAGCTCACCCACGAGTTTGAGGGCCAGCTGCTACAAAGGTTTACGGGGCACATCGCCAGAGTGAGTGGAGCCCAGTGGCTCCACAACTTGGGGGTTCCCTTGCAGATGCTGCAAATCTTGGGCCGTTGGTCCTCGATGACCATCCTCAAGTACTTGCAGACAGCCCCGCTGCAGGTGTTGCCGGACGTGGCGGCCAACACACTCCTCCAAGGAACCACGGGCGCTGACCGAAACTCGCCCGGGTGATGCCAGCACAGTGGTGGTCGAAGGGAGCGACGAGGAAGCGGTTCCAGAGCGGCGCGCTTTCTGCGGAGGTGGCCACGCAATGAAGGCAGCGTGCAGGCATCACCGGATTGGTGTGCCGGAGGCAGCTAACATCCCAACCCGTTGGTCCACGGTGTGCGGATGGCGTTATGGCTTGGGCCAGTTTTATCGGACTACTAGTATCGGCGTCGCGGATCACAGATGTCGGCGATGCTTCCCAGAGTTTTATGATCGGACTGAGGGTTCCGAGGGAGAGTCCGGTAGCGGATCGGGCAGCGGGTCCAGCTCGGATGAGTCGGGCTCGTCTAGCTCCGACTCCTAGGCAGTATGGGGCGGAGATCGGAAAATGTTCAGATGTGCGATGGCCGTCTCGGAGTTTTACGTTTCAGCACATGAGTTCCCTCTTCATGCTTCATGATGTTAGCCTGGTCGCGAGGATCTCGATGCCTTCGACGGCGACTTCGGCAAGATTGGTAGGCAGGTTCTTTCGTCATATGAGCGGGCCGTAGCCTTTCATGCCTGGAATGTCGGGGCGGTATCGTGGCATGCCATGGATTAGAGGGCGTCGCCTCGACAAAGGGCTTTTGGCCAAATGGCCTCGGATGACCCAGTGGGTGGTCATCCGATAGGGGCCCCAGTGGGCGGGCGCCCGAGGATGTGTTCAGCCGAGACCTGAGAGTGTCTTGCGAAAGAGCATCGGACCGTGGGCGCCCGTTTCGCGTTGGTTGTGATTGCATGCCTGCAGTCAAGCGGCCAAACACATTCTCGTGCGCTTCCTTCAGCTCAGACATGTTCGCATTTTGCATGGGCGAGGGATTTTCACAGGACTTCCTTCCACTTATCCGTCTGCGTGCAGTGTTCCAGAGTGATGTTGTCATAGACATGTCAGCAGCGCCGTCGGGAGATTCGATGGAGGCCTTGGCAGATCAAGCCGGGGCGGGCAAGGTGGTACGCGACTACTTGTCAGCCCGGGGGGTCACGTCGGTGGGCACACTGTCGATGCTGGCCAAGGACGATGATGCTTTCGAAGAGGCCACGATTAGGCCTTTGGTCTCGGGTTTCGAGACCCCAGGGGGCCGTTTGGAGCTGGCAGCGGAGGAGCAGCCAATCGCCAGGGCAGTCTTGCTTTACATGTTCCGCTTGGCTCAGGAGAATAGACGGTCGGCGACGGTCGCAGCCACCCCGGCTCCCTACGCCGTCGCCAACGGCTACGGTGTCTCCAGGCGCCAAGGCCGCGGCGTCCGAGAAGGCACCTCGGTTGCTGCCCTCCAAGGTTTGGACGGAGGCTGTGAACCGCTACAACGAAGTCACGGTGGCCGGTTGCAAGAGAGAGTTTCCTGTGAAGCGTTTGCTGGGGGCTGAAAGCGTCATGGCCAGGTTCCACTGGGAACACACAGTTAGCCGTTGTTACGCCCCTCTGGAGCTGGGGGAACTGATCTCCAAAAGAAGCTTCGCCAGTACAAACGAGGTCAACCATTTGGCCACCCGCAAGCGCCCCGCCAAGATCCAGTTCGATGGCGAATCGCTTCAGACAGAGGAGGACTCTACTTGGGAACCCAGGTCGCTCTGGGCAGTGGTGGATGGGCTGGATGCTATCCGTTGGTGCCACATCTTGTTTCAGGTTGGCGAGGAAAAGCAGATCAACACCTTCTTCGAAGAGATGATATGCAGGGCGCGACAGCGCCCGAACAAGATCGAGATCTTTCGGGAGTACTACTCAGCCGTGTCCTGGAGCATTTGCATGTCGCTCAACACAGGTCGCACATACAAGGAGGCCACAGATGACATCCTCAACGACGTCATCATGTGGAACGAGTACATGGCCAGGGAGCCGAAGGAGGACAAGAAGCGCAAGCGCCCCGAGGTCGTCGAGACGGTCACCACTAGCGAATGGTTGCTCAAGGCGCCCTATGGTGGCAAGAAGGGCAAGGGCAAAGGCAAGAAGGGCGAGAAAGGGCGCGATCAAGGCCAATGCCGGCAGCGGCAGTGGCAACGCCAACCATGGACTCGTGGCCAGGCCTGGCAGAAGGGGGGTCGGGTCGATGAGTAGGGACAGCTCGGGGCCTCGTCAGCCGTCTGAGGCACGAGCGGCCCAGGACAATCGTCACGCCCTTCGCGGGGACTCGGCATCACCCGCGCCGGGTTTGCAGGGGCATGGTGACCTGATACTGATATTGCTGTCATTTTGCGCTGGTGTGGTCCTCTGCGTTGGCCATCCAATCTCTGGGGATCCGCCTCAGAGCAGTCCTGGAATGGAAAATCGACCCGGCAACTCTGGCGGTTTCTGGCAAAGGCTGCAAGTGTTTGCGCATGAAGCGCGGCGACATTCTACAAGACGACCCAGCAACCGTGGCCGGTATTCTGGGGGGTCTTCTGCAAGAGAAGGACTCAGCCATGTTGGTGACGGCAGCTCCTCCTTGCACTGATTTTTCTGCAGTGAATGGCTATGCTCAGGGCTCAGGATCGTTGTTTGTCAGCTTTGTCAAGTTCCTTGACGAACTCGAATGGCTCATGGATAGGAAGTTCCCGTTGCTTGTGGAGAACGTCATCATACAGAACAACACTGACACTGAGTGGCTCAGCCAGCAGCTTAAGGCCCGTCCCTTCGTGGCGGACGCAGCCGCGTTCGGGATGATATCCCGACCACGAACTTGGTGGTCCAGAGTGGACTGGTCACAGGTCACAAAGCACCCATACCGGCCGGATCAGGACAGTTTGACTTGCAGTGGACCAAGTTTCAGGGCTTGACAAAGTTGCAGCTGGCGGCTGAGAAGGATGATCCGGTTTCCTTCGACATGCCAGGCCTCTCCTTTCACTCTTCGATTTTTCGGCATGAGCGTCTTCTTCCATGTTTAACAACCCCCGCTCCGGGGGCAGATGGCAGACCGCCGCCGAAGCGGATGAAAGGGAAGCTCAGTCCGGAGGCACGACAGCGTTGGCTGTCGGGTCAACGACAGTACGCTCCTTGGCTTTACGAGGATCATGCATTGGTCTTCGAGAAGTCAGGCGAAGGACAGCTCCTACCAGCGGAGTTGAAAGAACAGCTGCATCACTTCCCCTCAGGACTGACAAGACACCAGTCAGTGAGCCCCAAGGACCGTCATCGGCTTTTGGGCAATTCATGGCATCTCGGAGTGGCCAGGTTCTTGATCGCCTTGGTCCTGCTCAGCCAGCTCCCGACAGCTAGGGATTCTGTCTGCTGTGAGAAAGTTAAAAGCTGAGATGCAGCCTGAGACTGACGTCTGGTACAGTCAACTCCCTCCACATGTTGCAAGGGCTTATCGTCTCGAGAACGATCAAGTCGTACAGATCCCTTTGCTGTTGCGCCTACTCCGAGGCTGTGGATATCCAGACTGCGACAACTTGGAGCGGGACCTCAACGAGGGCTTCCCGCTCATAGGCCAGTTGCGTCGTTCTCCAGGTTGGCATGCTAGGACGGATGAGTGGTACGCTCATCCCATCTCTGAAGAGACTTTTTCAGAGTTGAATCGCCAGCAGACCAAGAGCCAACAAGCGCCGCGAGGACCCTGAATGGCAGTGCATGTTGAGCGAAGTGCTTCAGGAACGTGATCAGGGCGGCGTGGAAGGCCCTTTTCAGGCCCACGCGTCGTGGGGGTTTGAGGCGGTCTCAGATTCCATAGATCAGCCAGGCCAGGACTTGTTGGAGATGCCACAGGGTCCTGCGTATGCCGCTTTTGCCTTCAGTGTCGTGCAAGAGGGCTCGGACGGCCGTAAGAAGGTTCGCAGGTGTGAAGACTACCGCAGACCCCACCATAACAGTACCATTCTGGCGGTGGATAAACCTCCACACGATTCTGTGGAGACTTACGTCAGGGTGCTCTTGACATGGGCGTTCCTCGGAGTCGTCGCCCAGATCTGGTGTCAGGACATGATGGCGGCCTACAGACAATACCCAGTCTTGGCCGTGGCCCACGCTTACATGCTTTTGATGCTGCCACACGGCATCTCGGTGTGGCGTCATGCTGTCTTGCCCTTGGGGGCATCGGCCTCAGTGTGGCACTTCAACAGGTGTAGGGATGCCATATAGTGTGGTTGGCCAGGCGTCTTTTGCTGATAGTGGATTTACATTATGTCGACGACATAGGGGGTCCCGAGCCTCAGTGGTCTGCGACATCGGCTTGCAAGGCCTTCCGTGAGATGTGCGAGTTGCTGGGGGTTAGAGTCAAGCCTTCCAAGGAGCAATTGCCCAACGTGGTTCAGAAGGTGTTGGGGGTCTGGATTTCTGTTGGTGCTGATGGCATCGAGGTGCGACCGGATGAAGGGCGCATCAACAAGATGTGTGCGGCACTTCAGTCATGCCTCGCGCGCGATTCCATGACTCCAGAGGAAGCGGCTCGTCTGGCAGGCAAGCTTACGTTTCTGCAGACTAGCCTCTTCGGGCAGGTGGGCCGAGCAGCTCTCCATCCGATCTACTCTCGCGTACATGGGGGCTGTGATCAGGCGCTGACTTTGAACCAAGGCCTACGAGGGGCCATCCGTTGCCTACTATCGATCATGCAGAGGGCCCAGCCGCGCACGATCCCGGTGCGCTGCACGACAACTCGGACTTCAGTCCTGTACGTTGATGCGTTCGTTCGCCTGGGTGAGCAAGTTTGGAAGGCGGGTCATAGCCAGGTGCGCCACTGGACTCGCCAGCCGGTGGAACAACTCCTCAACGGTTGGGGCTTTGTTGTCCAGACGCTTCAAGGCACCACAGCTGGTCATGGCCAGGTGCCCGCTTCAGTGGTTCGCAAGTATGGCTCCCGCAAGGCCTACATTTTCTTTCTGGAGGTCAATGCTCAGATCTTGGCCCTCCTAGCCAATAGGGATGCGATGGACCCATTTTGGGTCGGCTTCTGCGACAACTCGGCAGGCAAGGCTACATTGAGCAAGGGCTTTTCTTCGGATGCTTCTATTAACAACTTATTGTGCTTTTTCTGGTCGTTGTGTGCAGAACTTAAGTGGTTTGCACACTTCGAATGGGTGGCGAGCCACCTCAACTTGTCGGACCCCATTTCGAGGGGTGATACGGCCGTGGCTACCGAGTTGCAGGCCAGTCTCCTCGTACAGGTGCCACCAGGATACTGGCGAATGCTGGAACGCATTGCTGATGACATGGAGTATGCCAACGGCCAGGCTCTACATGATGCTCAGCAGCTTCATTTTCCTTTCGACCATAGGGCATGAGGCATATGGTTGGTCACGAGGCGGCGTGTTGGCTGTGACGAGCGGTGAAAGTTACCACAGCCGAACGCCTCAAGTTTTGACTCGGTTCCGAAAGGTTGCATCTCGGCACCTACTCGAACACTCCGAAGACGAGAAAAGTCCGATTAGTGTGCAGAGCGATCGTGATAGCATGTCTGTGTGGGGGAAGTGCATCCTAAGCCGTGTTTCTGCACATAGGAATATTTGATTGCCACAAGAGTACGTGGGTGGCTAACTGATTTCCAAAACTCCTCACAGACCTAAACTTTCTTGCCAATCGGCATGATCCTGGCCCAGCAGTTCACCCTGACCAATGATGGTGAAACTCGTCGGACAGAGATGTCGCAAGATGTTGTTTTCGTGGCATTTCGTCCTTCTCACTTCTTAGATACCGTATTGCGAGCTCCTTTGTTGCACCGTGTATGTAATGATGGTAATGGTTGACCTACTGGGACACAAGATCGCTTTCAAACATTTCGGGCTTTTGGAACAGATTCTAACAGAAGGGGTTGTGTTTTTATAGGTTTCTAGGAGTCTGCAGGAACCAACCTTTTCAGTCAAGGCTTGACATGATTGGTGGCCGCTGCTGTCTTCTATGTTTGCGACAACCGGGAAAGCCGCATCTCGGAACCTTGAACCAGAGCCGAAAGAATCTCAAGCTGCTCACGCACTGAAGCGAAAAACTTAGGTAGGCCCTAACCAAGTCTTGAAGCCGGACTCTTTCAAGTCCCCACCCTATGGCTCGAATCCCGGACTGCGCGTCGGGCAGGCGCCCCGTCCTTGAGGTTGCAGGTTCCCCCCGAAGCCCTGGATCTTGAGCCCCCTGACAGGTCTGAGGGTGGCCGTATCCTCGGAGAATGGGGGCAGCCGAGGTTTAGGATCTAGGGTAGTAGGATTCCGGGAGATTCATTGTCCAAAGGGTGTTCCGATCTTAGGTTGCACATTGCAAATTTGCGCTATCTGCTTTTCCGGATCTGCTGTCTGGCCTTTAGCACGAGTGTTCGGGTGTTTTGCGGCTTTTGTTGCCTAAGAGAAAGTGGTCGAGGGATTGCGGACACGAATTTTGGAACGCCCCCGCCTTCTGTTCTGAGCTTCCGGCCTCCAAGCTTCTGAAAGCCCAGGGTAATTAGCTCTTGCAGTCTTGACACCCGAACCCAACAAGAGTTCCTTCGATTCTCGCAATGACTGCCCTATAACTATAACTATAACCCTTACACCAAAACCGATGTCGGAATTGTTCAAGTCTTTGTATTAGGTATAGTTAGTTTTCGAGCCGTGAGCGCCCCGAGGCCCAGACACCCCGAACTTTTCAGGGTTCAGGGTTCATTGAAGCCCCTTTCCTGTAAGCAGCCAATATGCTAAACATTCTATTCCCGCATCCTGACCTAGAGTCCGAGCCCCCTCCATCAAAGTCTAACTGACTTGAAGAAAGGCACGTTTTAGAAGTAGCTGGTGGTGTCCAAGCACAAGCCGAGGTTTCGGAGCACCTTCGGGGCCCGGGCACAACCAGAAAATCCCTCAACTCCAAACCTTAGACCCTGAACCCTCAACTCGCAGCCCTGAGCCTAATCCCTACAACCCGGAACACGTGGCACACTGCAGGCCAGACCGAGGACGCGAATATATCTCGACTTGGGGCTGTAGGATTTGATGATTGCAGGCTTAAGTACTTTCAGGGTTTAGCCTTTGTAGTGTTTGGGATGTAGAGCGTAGGTTTACATGGAGGGATGACTTTTTCGGACCCGGGGTTTTCTGGAACGACATGACTGTTTGGCTTGTGGGGTGTGTTCGCGTTAATCGCATTGTACTCAATTTGTGGGGTTGAGGGTGGTTGAGGGTTCTGACTCCGATTCTTCGGGCTGAATCCTCAAGCTTTCTTTCGGTTTTGCAACGCAGATCCTTCAAAGATGGGGCTTTCGGCGTTGAGGCTAGTCCACTGGTGACCTTCCATGTTTGTCATTGCGCAGGCCTCTTGGCCTTCAATGCTTCAATTGACTTGGCCTGTCAGGACTTCCTGATGTTTACACATGTGGAAGGCTCGGAGGAGCAGGAGGCCAGGCTTCCCGGCTTGATGACGCATGTCACCGTGATTCTGAAGCCCCTGCATGCTGCCGCATGCAAGGGCTCCTTGAACGTGGCCGGGTGATTCGTTGAGTTCCTGGAATATGAATCATGTCTCCACAAACGAGGTTGAAACCCTGAAGGCCCAATCTTGACCCTTAAGCCC